TGATGAGTTAGATGGAGCAGGCAGAGATGAAGAAAATCGGATGGATGGATGGATGGTTGATTAGGGGACATTGATGGTGCCACGGAGCACGCTTGGTTCTAGCTTTTCCATGCTCCACTTTTGCTCATGTTTCTTTGAGAAGGGCTAAGGCAGATTAATACTAAGCACCAACTTCTATAGTATGATGCTGGATTCTCTCTTCTCTTCTCTGATTACCAAATTGCGGGAAATAAATTAAAAAGAAAAAAATTATCACTTGCAGACTGCAGCTTTCGAATTTCAACACTGAAATGTGAAATGTAAAATGGCTCTTTTTTTTATTCCAGAGAAAGATTTTAAGGGTATGGAGAAAATATGATTTCATCTAAGACGGTTTCTTTCGGGGCAGGAACTGCTACAAACAAGACATGTATAACAGGCTACCAAATCTAATCATGCACGATTGAACAAATTAAACCAGTTATATACTCATACAGTACCAATTGTTCGGTACACTAACGTGTTCATTCTTGATTAGACTATTTGCACACAGCTTGTTTGTAGCAGAATGTTCTGTACTTTGGGATTTTTTCTAAACTTTGCTTTATAAATCAGTCAGCGTGTTACAAGTGTTTTATTATAACATTTCATGTGTCGTAAGTGTAACTGAATATTATACTTAAAAAATGTTTGAACTCCTGTTACACACTGATTGCTTTGTACAGTACAGAAAGTGCAATATATGTAAAAGAGTAGGAACACAACAGTGGGGCTGGCAAATCCAAACCCGTTGTTGATGAGTGTTGTTGACACAGACATATAATACATATATTACTTTACATCATCATCAGAAATCACTTCATCCATCACCTCCCCAATTTCATTGGGAGCTTCCAGAACAACACTCCCCTAAACCTGATGGGCGAATCGATCAACTGATGTGACCAGACAGGAAAAAGCAGAGATCATGAAGGGAGTCCTCATCCTCCCTCTTAGCAAATACTCCCTAAAGCGTCAAATACATATATAACTTACCCTTCCCGCTGTCCATAGCTTGCCGGCCCGCTGAAAGATTGATCCTTGTTAGTTACCTCCTACCATTAATTAATATCTACTACGTAACCCCCCCCCCCCCCCCCCCCCTTCATTTCTTCACTTGTTAATTTGTAGTGTTCTAGTTCAAACATAGTTTGAACTTTTGAGTACAAATCTCGCTCCCAAAACAAGGCAATATTAATTAAGGTCTCGTGATAGCAAGCCTCACAAGAAATAAAGCCACCTATCCCCTCCTGTCATATTAAATTATTAATCTGCTGTGAACGTATGTTCAGGTTGATCAACTGTTGAACAAGGAACCATTACCTAACACCCATACCCAATTAATCAATAGTTTATTAACACTTGGCAAGGTCTAGGGCCCTGCATTGAATTTGGTAGAAACTCGAAAAGAGTCCTCCGGCCGGCCTCCTCTACCAAACAACTAACTATATATTTCTTTATTTTGGTTGGTCGTCGTCATATATGCACACAAGAATAAGAAGATATATATCAGAGCCATGAGTGTACGGATCAATATTGAGCAATATTCCTTCCAAATGAAGCTCTAATATATTACTCTTATAGTACTCCACTCACATGTATGACCACAAAGAGGGCCTAATATTCTTTGGTCGTTCTAGGTGTTCCATCTCAGTCTAGCTTCCTTTGACAATTAAAACCCAGTAAAGACTAAAAGAGAAAACAAGCCACGTAGAACGACCACAGGTTTTTGGGTACTCTATTTATAACTTGAGATATGACAAGTAACAATAGCCACTAGAAATTGCAAAATAGGGTGACCACAGGTTTTTGGGATGCAAAATATCTACAGAGAAAACAAGCCACGTAGCTTCCACGTGGACCTTCCGACTCCCCCTCACACTACATAATGCGGCCTTCCTCTCAATTTCCATTAATGCATTATTGTTGCAGAGACGGTTCTTCTGTTTGTGGCTTGTGGGTGACCCCTGACTCGGTCAAAAAAGGTCCAGCTAGCCACAAAACCAGCAAGTTCAAAGTATTGAATCGCCTAAAGTCTAAAAATGTATTTCAATTCGTTTGGATCTAACTCCCTGGATCCTGCTGCAACGACCTGACCGCCATGCATATGCATATGCATTATGCATGCAATGTATACTCACTTGTATAGACATACGACATTGGTTAGTACATATTGGTTGGTATATATGTTCCTTCCCTTTTTCTGTTCGATCAAATTAAATTATGAGCCACAGTAATCTTTCTCGCATCAACAATTGCTGCTGGAGTTTGTCTCCAAGCTAACAACATTTTCTCAACTCATATAGATGCCTGTGGGGTTTACGTGTTTGTGAAGGCCGACCAAGCCTGTCTGCCTGGGCTCCTCGAATCACAAGAACAGTATCTCATGGAAAACAACTCGGCATGGGCAATCACTAACTGCTGACATGCAACAGGACAACCGCATCAGTTTTTAGGTTTCCAGGCTGAGGATGCAAAGTAGCATTTTCATATTGATTGGTGTTCGAAATTTCTTGGCCCTTGATTCCCCTTTCCATCCACGTCGACTGATGACATGGCTAATCGAGGCAACTCACTTGGCACTGGCAGGAAACCCCTTGTTATTCTTTTCTCCTTAATTATGTGTGTGTGTGTATAGTCAGTTGGTGAGCTACCATTCACATTTCCATGTTGAATGACAGCCCCATTATATTATATATAAATAATAATTTCCAATCTCCCAGCAAGGAAAAGGTTGAATGTATGTAGGCAGTAGGTACTAGGTAGCTAGAGGCCTCCTTAATTCTCATGTTCACATTAGGCCGCGTGAGGAGAGAGGGGTTGGGTAGGCCTTTTTCAGTCGCGAATTGATCTGTTCATGGGTCGGGTAGTCTAATGGTCCGATTCGCACTCTGATCAGGCTTGGTCATGTAATTAGGCTTGCATGTCTGACCTCGGGCCTAACACAGTAAGTYCAACTGTGTTTTGCGATTTATCAAAAAAGCTCGACCGATTCAGTATTATATATTTTATAAAATACATAATATATATTTTATATATTATATAAAATATATAACTAATATAATATTTATTGAAATATATATATATATTTATAATTTAATATATACATTTTTTTATTTTTTTCTTTATAATTTTTTTTTCTCTCTCTCTCTCTATTCAGTCGCTTTAACAATAGTAAAAGGCTAACAGCATGGGCTAAATTTCGGGCTCGGGCTTGGTCTTTAGAAAAATTTATTAATATAGAGTGGAAGCCCGGACTGAACCGACCTGGCCCAGCCCATGAAGAGGTCTAGTCGAGAATCACAATAAATTAATATGAACACAGAGATGTAGGCTTGTGATCGAACACAGTTTGGGGCCTCCCCAGTCCCCCCTAGCTTTGCGGAATTAGGCAATATTGTGCATAGGGATAGGATATGACATGTAAGAGGGATATTCATATCTATATTCATATCCATTAAAAATCAACCGTACTAGATATATCTCTTTGGAATTGCTGCATATAATAAAGTAATAATCTATGGTCCAAACAGACAATTATTGAGGTTACATCAGCACTATTAATTTAGTACTATTTTCTATTACAAAGCAACCGGATATAACTATAATGATCTCAGTTCAACGTATGTACTTACTTGTAACCTAATATATGATAAAAAAAAAAAAAAAGTAGAACCAGGTGGCTGAACCAATGAAACTGTGACCCTGACGAATACTGTCAACATCAAATAGAGCTTCCACGGTTAAACCGGTAAACCATGGCCCATTGAGCATTCACGGTCCATTAAATAAATAAATAGAAATGGTGAATACTTGAGGTAGCTCCAAGGAAGGATGGCCTGGCCTAGTCAATATATATTCTAAAACGATCGAAATGCATGCAACTTGGTATCTCATCTTTTCAGGACCCTGACAGGAAAAACATGTCATGGATGGTTTGGCTTGGCAGTGGGCAACTAGCTATTAAACAAACAGATATTTATTAGAGTCACTTTTATGGATTGATAAGTATCAAAAGATATTAATCTATATTATGTATTATTTTTTTTCCTGCTGGTTTTATCTCATGGTTGTACATATCGGTGAATTTTTACAAAATCTGTGTTTGAGTCAAGCCCACCAATAACATGCCATCGATATCAAATATATATCATTTTGGCTCAAGCTTCAAGATTTTGGTAATTTTATCTCAAACTTTGGTTTGTTATTAAAATAAAACAATTAAAATTTAACGTATTGCAAGCCAAGTGGATTATTACCTTCAAGAAACCACCAAGCAGATTAGTTATAGATAAATGCAAAATACATTAATTATCATATAAAAACCATGGTTCCAAAATGTTGGCGTATTTTACACACTTAATTATTAAAATGAGCATATTTACAAAAAACATAATCATAACTTTATATAAAAGTAAGAATATAAATTAATAAATAAAGCATTCTTCCAATATTTACGTCTAGCTAGTATATTTCCTTAGTCAAAATGCAAAATACCATGCACATTCATAAAGCGCATGTGCTGAGGCCTGACAATGAGCCAGAGCTTCATATAATCATATCTATGTCTTATATATGAGTACGAAGAAGCATCAATTTATGTATAACATGTCTACATACATCATATCAAATAAAATGCCTATGCATATGTATATGCATATGCATGAATATATAAATAAATAAATAAATAAAATATATAGGCGTAGCTATGACCGAATTAAAGTCAGAGGTAGTGCATGAATGCGGTCGTGCAGTGCAATCACAGCACATGAAGGTTCATAGAAGCTAGCATACATAGATTCAGTAGCAACCAAAGTGTGTAATTTGCTCAAATGATTTGATCTTGACAAAGAAACCGCCAACCCAAAACTTGTATGTTTCTGTATGTTGCTCTCTACCCCCCTCCACCGACCCCCAACCAAGATCTCCAAATTAAACCCTTTTTATTCGTTAACACAGCTAACCTTCTATCGACCACTGCATATATTGGATTTTCCGTTGAACTGTCATACCCACAAACACCCAGTACTCCTTCTATTCTTTCCTTTCACAGCCATTCTATTCCACCTCCATCTGATCACTATTTTAAGCCTCTCTACCTTGTATTTTTTTCTCTTCAAATCCATCTCCCTTTACACCTCTAAATTTATATCTTTCTACCACCTCTATCCACTATCTTCTTTGACTACCAAAGCTATCACAAATCAAACAAAGCCTCTCAACCCTCAAGCAAGATCAAGATGAAGGTGGGCTCAATTTCTTCTTACTTAATTCCTTACCCCGTCCCTCCCCC